CAGGGGTAGCACCTTTGTCCATATAGTGTATTTGGATGGAAATCTATCTCAAAAAAGGAAGACTGATGGTCTCTCTGATTGGTCTGACACATGATCAACAATGCTTAAAGTCACTGAAAAGGTTTACAAGCAGTGGGAATCATTTAATATGTAAGGCTTACAATGAATGTAACCAGGCATTCATAGTCATTCAAATTCTAGGTCACTCTCTTCTGATGAATTTAAACTTCTACGTACATTAAGTGTAGTGGTGGAGTTACCTACAGCCTGTCTCAGAACCAACATAATGCCTTATTATCTTGCTCAGATTTTTATTATTTGGTCATTTGTCCTTGCTTTTTGTGCTTCTACCATAGGTATTTAGGCTATGTAGTTAAAAGGCTTCTGTTTTATTTGCCTTAATTGTGTTTATTGAGTGTTTAATTTATTTTGTGTTACATGCCACTTGTGTCAGGGATACTATAATTTAACAGTGGTGAGAACTTCTCTCAGGCTTACCAATATTGTAAATATGCTATACAAACTGGCATACATTTCTTTTAAGCGTATTGTTGAAACCCAAAATGTAGAGTGGCCATTATAGTGCAGTATACAGTAAATTGAGGGTCAAAGTTAAGAGAGAAGAGAGCAAGAAACTTTCAGTTTATGAGCGTGTGTCTTCAGGAGCATGTGCACCATACACAAATGAGTTCTTACTGCAGTGGCCCAGTTCTAATCAAACCTGTGGCTTATTAGCATGCATCTCCTCTCTCCTGTATTTATTTTCTCTCTTTGGCTGTACCATCATCAGATTTTTATTAGAATTGGGTGTTTGGGCACTTTTACTAAACATATGTCTACATATATTTCTACCGTTTTCTTTTTGTGGTTGTAGGAAACTGTGTTATGAATTAGCATCCAATGCAGAGTTAAGCTAAATACAAAATCCTGGAGAAAGTGTGAGTGCGGTCTCTGAGAGGTGACCTGGAGCAGGTGAGGGGTGTGAACGTGTGTCTGATTGTCTGCAGTGAGAATCTGTGTCTGATTGTCTGCAGTGTGGGGAGGGTTTCTTGCGACCAATGATGATCGTTAGGCCTTTGAACTTGAACTACTTAACATTTCACACTTGCACCCAATATTGTGTCTCGCCTAGTCTTGTAAACTTAGTGTCTCTTCAAACCCCAAGTAACTACAGATTATATTTAGTTTAAATTATAAGTTTCTCTTAGAAATTATCAATTTCTTTTTATTTATTCATGCTGGAGTGTGAGTGTCAATCCATGCTATCTAAGAGGGAACTTGTGTCATTATGTACCAGCCAACAGTGGACATTTTTGTAATGCAAAACAACAAACAAAATGCATTCCGTTACATATAGATTAAAGATACATGTACATTGTAAAATTGATTGAAATCCTGTGATTGTCATAATTGGTCAATATACTGGGAAAATTGGGGGGCTAAATCCTTTCAAAGGGCTGGTGAAAGTTCATAATAAATCTGTTTTTAGCAAATAAAAAAAGAACATTAAGAATCTTCCTGCTGACCATTTACTTCCTAATTTAAATTTATTTATCATGCTTGAGGAATATTTAATGATGTTGGAGTGTGACTGTTGCTCCATAGGATCTAAGAGGGGACATGTGCCCTATGTAGCAACAGTGGATTCCTGTCATTTAATGTGTCATCGGTAATAGTCTTTTTGTCATGGGTAATGTGGGTTACACATTTCTTAGCAAAGGACAGCAGCTTCTCAGGTGGAGGATCAAACTTCAGGCTCTTGAATTTTTAAGTTGGTAAAGTTTTTTGCTTTAATGTTTTGTTTGGAGAAAGGAGGCAAGTTCAGAATAGGGAATGTGTGTGGGTCAATAAGCGTCAAATACCAGTGAACTAGTTATGAGCAATACTTTTGAATGAAGAACATATTATGAGTTGGAAAAGACTTAATTGAGAGTTATTTGGAAACTATTACTTGTTACATAACAATAGACCTTATTTACAAGTATAACTAAAGATTCTATTTAGGTTACATTATAATTTTCTTTTAAGAATCATACATTTCTTTTTTACTCATCCATGTTGCAGTGTGAGTGTCGATTCATGCTATCTAAGAGGGAACTTGTGTCATTATATACCAGCCAACAGTGGACATTTCTGTAATGCAAATCAACAAACAAAATGCACACCTATAAATATAGATTAAAGAAACAAGTACATTGTAAAATTGATTAAAATCATGTCCTAATTGGTCAATATCATATTTGGAAGATTTGGGGGCTAAACCATTTCAAAGGTCTAGTAAAACTTAATAAATATGTTTTTAGCAATTAATAAAAAATTATACAAAGTATCTTGCTGCTGACCATGTTGTTCCTACTTTTTATTTATTTATCTTAAAGTACTTATGACTCTCCTGACTTGTGGGCAGCCCTTCATTTTGATGCAGTGTCAAGATTGAAAATGGTTAAGCCATCAACTAAAGCTGAGACATCATATTTCATTACAAAACAATAATAACAAATCATGCTTGAGGAATATTTAATGATGTTGGAGTGTGACTGTTGCTCCATACTATCTAAGAGGGGACATGTGTCGTTATGTAGCAACCAACAGTGGACTCCTGTCATTTAATGCCATACAAGTGTGGACCTTTTTTTCTGTAGGCAATGCGGACCAGTAAATATTATGCATTCCTGATGAAAACTCATCAGGACATTAATGCTTCATGAATTAATTTGGGTAGCCCTTTATATTAGGGCTTGTCCATAAAGTACACAGGTACATCGAAGCTTGCAAGTCTGTAACTAAACCAGCATTTTCATTCCACACTTCAACAAGGGATCGACTTTGCCTCTGGATGTCATGTCATCGGTAATAGTCTTTTTCTCATGGGTAATGTGGGTTACACATTTCTTAGCAAAGGACAGCAGCTTCTCAGGTGGAGGATCAAACTTCAGGCTCTTGAAGGTTTAAGTTGGTAAAGTTTTACTTATGACTCCCTAAACTTGTGGGCAGCCCTTCATTATAATACAGTGTCAAGAGTGAAAATGTTTAAGCCATCCATTAAAGCTGAGACTTTATATTTCATTACAAAAACATAACAAATCATGCGGAATAATTATTGATGCTGGATGTTGGAGTGTGACTGTTGCTCCATACTATCTAAGAGGGGACATGTGTTGTTATGTAGCAACCAACAGTGGATTCATGTCATTAAATGCCATACAAGTGTGGACCTTTTTTCTGTAGGCCTAATGCAAACATGAAAATACCATGCATTCCTGATGAAAACCCATCAGGACATCAATTTATTTGGGTAGCCTTTTATCTTACAGTCTGAAGCTTAATACTAGTTAGGAAATCTACTATTGCTGAGCCTTTAAGTTTTGTTTCAAAAGCATATTATCAAATCATGTGTCAATAGACTGCTTAGTTGAGATTATATTTTTCTCATAAGTATTATTGTTTTTGCTTTCGTTTGTCATACATGCTATAGTTTGAATGTCAAATTATCCTTATTAGAAAAAGGATAACTCATTATCTGTTGTCTGACCTCATTATATTCATAAATGACTTTAGCCCCTAAAGATATCCAAATAGCCTTAACAGAGTGTAGTGGATGTGTGATTCAAAACCAGTCTAAGATTCAGTTATTAAGAGCAAATACAAAGTAACTCTTTAAAATGCATATATCACCATTCCACACAGGTCATAAAAATGACCATCCCACACAGAAGAATATGAATTCCCCTAAGAGAAAGTTAAAATAAGTGCACTAGTGTAATAAGATATTTTATTATTATTTAAACGGTATTTGAAACCTAGATCAAGTAATTTTTGTTGGTAATACTGTAGTGCTTGATATCAATGCATGCAGCAAAGTTACTTCTGAATTAAAGTTTAAAGTTTATTTATTTTCAGTTAAAGTGATTAAAGTTTGGATCACGGTGAAATGTTTACACATCGCTCACATTAAAGTTAAATTATCCATTTTTGAAAGAAACAAAGAAAGTCTTTGAAGGTAAAAACACTCATTAGGTGAGAATGAGCACAGACAGTTCCACTGCATAACAATGGAGGTCCCCTCTTGGATAGGTAGCTATCGTTTAAGGATCTAAGTCCCCTCTTGGCAATTTCTTTAAAAAGCCAAAAAAAGCAAATTTGCAGTAATATTATGTTAAAAGACAGTAAAAGTAAATTTTGTATTATATTTATTTTACTTCAAAAGGACTGGAAACACAGGTCCACACTTGGCAGTTTACTCCGACGGTGCACTGTTGGATAGGTACGCGTGTATGTGTGTGTGTGTGTGTGTGTGTGTGTGCCTGTGTGTGCCTGTGTGTGCCTGTGTGTGCCTGTGTGTGCCTGTGTGTGCCTGTGTGTGCCTGTGTGTGTTTGTGGAGATCCATTTTGGAGGCCTTAGTTTATGGCCTCTGTCCAACTTGATATTCCTAGTTCAGGGAGAGGTTCTATATCTGGACAGGGTGAAATTGTCATTTTAACAGTCTTGAGGTAAAGTCAGTTGTCTTAACTCCACATATCTAACAACTTTTGTAACTTTACAAAACAGTTAATCTGAGATTCACGCCCACTGCTAATATGTCGCACTACACCAAAGCCTTTGCCTACAGGTGAGGCTCCCAGACAGCAGGTTTTCTCTTCTAACAAGTTATTATAACAAATGTAAACAAAGTAAAAAAAAACAAAGGGGAAACTAAATATGACCAACCGTTAATCAGGTTGTCCAGCAATATGACCATGTAAAACATCTTTTTCAAGATAGCAAGTTAGCAAGTCAGAGTGACATATTAGGTAAAAGGAGGTGGTGTCTCTCCTCATGTAACAGATAAACGTATAAACCTCAAGTTTTTCCCGAAGTTCAGGTTACACAACCGGTAGATTAACACAACATACACGCAGTCTCCTTGTGAAGAACTCATACAGCCTTTAATCTCACTATGTTTTAACAACTCAACAGAATGCTGCACAAACAGTGCTAAGCTCGGAGGTTAAGGACTTACCAGATGCCCAGGATGACGGCCTGCTCCTCTGCGCTGAGGTCAGGCAGCTCATACTGATTTGGCTCCGCTAAATTGAGCTTATCCAGCACGGTGTCATCAGACAGACTGTAGTCCTGTAAGCATGGAAACACACATGGAGTCAGATGTGTACATACATGCTGCAGTCATGAACCATGGCACATGAAAACAACAAAGAGCTGCTAAGTGTGCCAGCATGTTTTTTTGGATTAAGCATGACTACATTTTGAGAAATTGCTTGCAGCCAAAACCTTTAAATGAAAACTACCATGAGACATTCAACTTCCAAGACTGAATCCTTCATGCATGCTGCTTAGTGGATGGCTCATGTTTTATCTAATTTTCACTGATAAGCTAACAGTCAGTTTAAAGAATCACTACATCCATATACAGAGTACCTGTGGTTTAATTTACAGTGACTCAGTATGGAGTAAGGCTACCATGAGCCTCAAGAACAGCTTCAGTGCAAAATGTTATGGCATTCTCCCAAAGATAGCACTACAGCTACATGACTAATTCAAAGGGCTATAAAACTAACCAAGAATATCAATCACTTCAATGTTGAATACCTGATGTGCGACATAGTCCCAATATTCCTGGTCATTATTGAAATGTTTAGGATTGTGCAGCCTTGGTGAAGGTTATGCATGCTCTGATTGATAGCTTTATGAGTCATTGTTCCAATGATTTGTGTTGGGTTTCATGTTGGTAACAGTTCTTGGGGTGGCCATCTTTTGTGGCTATGGTGGCTGTTGTTAGCAGGAATTCTGCGTGGTTCACAAAGTTTAGTTTTAAGATATTTTAGAACCATGTAGAATTTTTGTGTGTAGTATAAATATGAAGAAACCCAAGTAGGAGTGATAAGGCCTAGAATAGCTCTCTCAGACCAGAATCCTGCTTTTCTAATATGTGCGGATTAGTAGATGGCAGCAACAGAATTGGAAGGAAATTTAACCTGCGTGGGTATTGTTTAAAAGATGTGTAAAGACCTCTCAAAATGTCTCTGATGGATAGTCATGCATGTATCAAATGTATTTTTTCCCATAAGACCAAATCATACAATAACATAGCAACAAAAAATGTTTTCAATAGCAACTGCACTGACTGACGTGCGTAAATGTTTGTGAATTAGGCTTACCATTGTGACAACTTCAGACAGTCTGTATGTGTGGATGTCTGTTTTAACATTGTTTTAAAACCAAGATGCTCTCAACCTTTCTTTGTAAACCACTAGAATTAACGCTGTGCAGTTGCATTCCTCCACCAGCCAGTCAGGTTGCAGTCTGTCTGTACAGACTCAGACTGAGCACAATAAAATGTCCTAAACTAAGAAAAATGTTGACAACATACAGACTGAGTGAACACAGCCTGGCCATAGAAAAGGGTTGTCACAGACAGAGCTGGCTACCACAAGAGGAGAGACTCTACACTAAGACAAAAACACTTTGCAAACATTTCCCAAATATACCCCGAATTCAAATGTATATCAGACACACAGAAACTCCCCTATTTACTGGGAGAAATGCCCAAATGTCAAATTATTGCTGCAAAATATGTCTCCTCATGCCATGAAGTGAGGACAACCAGTGGAAACTCAGACTGATAAATAATTGTACTAATTTTCAAATAATTATTAATTTGATTGTTTGATATTTTAGTAATTGTTTCTTTATTTGTATTTTGTTTTTAAATTTCACATTTGATACTGATTTTTTAGTTGTTTTTTAATTAATTAATTTCTTATTTTTTGTCTATTAATACACTCACACTTTTTTTTTTAAACACACACACTTAGTGTTATTTATTTTAATTAAAGATATTATTTTCATTTTCTAACACACACACACACACACACACACGCTTATTGTTTTATTTATTTACTTTTAACATTTATTTTACGTAATTTCTATTTATATATTTTTTATTATTATTCTTTTATTTTTTATTAACACACACAAACAACTTTTGCTGTTTTATTTACTTATCTAATGAAATGTATGAAATTAATTGTTATTATGTAATTTATTTATAGCTTTGGCAATATTGTTGTTATACATTCATGCCAATAAATCTGATTTGAATTGACTCATATAATATATGTAGTGAATACTTTGAGGGAAGTGAATTTACATTGTTGAACTGATTAACGAAGGATTATCACAGATTTGCTGAACAGGTACACATGTACTTGATTACTATGTAAAGATGGATTCTTGTAGAGTACAGCTACACAAAATGTGATGCTTTGGTTTTCTCTTGGCATTTTTAGATACAAAGCTTCTCTATGAGCTGTTGGTTAAACTCACTCACCCACAGGATCACAATTAGCTAGGCAATGTTTGCAGTCACATGATGGTTTTAAAACAAGAGAAATATGGAGATAGAGTGGAGTGTGTTGCACGGGGATGCCATTACATTGACAATAGCAACGGGCTTCATATGGTATTAAGGGTCCAGTGGTGGATGTGTCCCTCTGCTGATGATGCAGGGTATTACAAATTATTTGCCCCTGTTGAAGATCCTGGTTAGCAGAAAAGGCAGATCTTAGGGTGATCTCAAACACTTGGTTCTGGGCAAGATCATCTCTAACCTACCAAAGATGTCAGATTGCTGCTAGGTGAATTAGAGCGGACCAACAGGAGCTCCATCTTTAGAGAGCAGAGTTTAGACTAGATCATTTCTTAAAAGGGACAATTTAGCACATTTTATGTTGACGTCCAATCAGTGTTACAAGCTATATTAGCTTAGAAATGCAGCTGAGAGAGGACGAGCCTGCAGTTGAAGTCACAGCCATGCACGAGGTGCCTTTAGGGCTGAAACAATTCATCGATTAAATCGATTACTAAATTGTAAGCTTCGTTTAATCCATATAACTACATAGCACACTGTTTTACACGGACATTTATTACTGTCGCACATCGCGCTTACGCTGTCAACACAACGTGATTATAACGGAGCTGTTTGCAAAGTGGAGGAAGAGAGAGAATAGCGAGGGACAAAGAAGAAAGTGTCCAAAGTATGGGATTATTTCAAGCTAGAGAAAACAACCACTCTGTCTGTGTCACAGTCCGTCCACCGTAAAACGAAACTTTTGTCGCCTCGGCAACAGCACGACGGTATCTGATCAGAAAGCAGCCGGTGTTCTGCCAGCTGACCACAGACAAGGTAACAGTAACAACAACTTTAGCATTTAATTGAAATCATGATTGACTGTTGAGTTGAAGGCTAGCCAAAGTAAGCAGTCCTCAGCTGAAAATGTACACAGGTGCGTTTGTTGTTCCTGTGAGTTTGTGTTGTAATGTCGCAGTCATGAGTTAACTGGGTGTCGGGGAGCTGCACCTTAGTATAACTTGTAGCACTCGGGTGATGTTTGTGTTGGTAAAGCAGTTGTCTGGTTGTTGGTCTGTGGATGTTGGTCTGACGTTTGCCGCCAAGCAAAAGTAGCCTACTTCTTAAACGACGCATCGATGGTGCCTTTGCTCAATTACCCTCTGATTCCAACAGAAACCGAATCATTCCACTGTTATGAATTTCAATGTTGCCAGTTTTTGTTACTATGCATGAAAGTTTTACAGAGGTGTCCTGGAGACCTTCAACAGGATCCTTAAGATAAATGGGAAAAGACAGCCAAGACCCGCAGGCCAAGAGGGCAGATGACCACTGAGTGAGTATTGTGAGTAGGCTGGGCAATTCTGGACTAATGTTGTAATCCTGAGGGGCAACCAAGAGAAACTGTGTGAACGTTAAGCCTCCTTTAAAGCCAACTAAATAACAAGAGTAGTAGCAACATAAAAAAAACACGAGTAGCGTTTTGTGGAACTTTATACTGCAGCAGTGGCACAGCTAGTGTTAGCTTTGTTGTTATATGAAAGCCCATTCTGCCGGAGTGTGTGTGTGTTGCTTTATGTAAATTTATTTGATAGACATGCCCTGAAGGTAAAGATATAGCTACATGGGAACAAGACATTGTCAAATGCAGAAAATTATTTTTTTGAAAACATTATGTAACTTTGATTAGCTCCCAGCACCATCTTGCACAGAGCTGTAGTGGCCATTACAATAAACCTGTTTCTGATTCTAAAAGACGACAACAGAAACTCATACCTTGGGCAAGCTAGCTTGAGGTGTAGGGGTGGGACTGGTCTCATCATCCATCTGGCCTGGCTGGCCCTGCTTTCTCTTGACCTCAAGGATGAGCTGAGCCAAGTATTTCTGCTGGAAACGGGTCCGTTTGCCAAGAGCACCTTGATTGAGCAGATGCAATCAGTTGTTACATTTTTCATCAAGGTTTCATCAATATGGGTTTAGAGCCTCCTGTTATGAATGTACAGTATGCATTTTCTAAAAGTGACTCAATTATCATCCAAGACCAGATGCTGTGGTACTTTACATACCAGTCATATTGATATTCAGCCCTGAGAGCTCCTGGGCTTTCTTGATGTGTTCCTTGGCTGGCTGGTACTCATAGTAGGTCAGACTGGTGTAGACACACTCCAGGTGGAACTGGATAGCCAGTTCACTGTGTTCCGACAACAGAGATTGGCATTTCAGCACTGTGAATAAGAACAGAGAAGAGCTCACATTAATTCATCGCTACCCACAATCCAGTCTCTGGAAGTATATGTGCAGATATATAAGTATATATAAGCGGCAAGTTTATCATTGTTATCAGTATGTAACAGCCAGTACTATTACTCTTGCTTTTCAACTTCCAGCTCTATTAATTGTTATGTGGAAGGCCCTAGACTGTAGAGAAACATGATTTTACCTTTATATTTCTAAAAGGGCAATTTCTCTCTTACAAACAAAATGTCTTCATCTAAATGAATTTGGAATTTAAATATGATACCGAAATCTAATAAAATAAAATCAAAATTAAAAATTCTGTTCACCATATCATCATCATCATAACAGCAGCAAATAGGAGGAAAATAGAGTAAAACAGGAGTAAAATTCTCACTCTGACAGCTGCCTCAGGGTCAACATGCAAGTCACTGTCCAGGATCATCCTTTTGTTGCACCAACAGTGTGACCTCACCTACTGTAGGCTATGATATTCTTTGTCTAATATCTCCATGACCATCACGTCCCCTCGTATGTTAGTCAGGGACTGCTTTGCTTTAAAGAATTCCCCCTTTGTCTATCGCAGTGCTGCTCTGATGACACGTTGTTGGCAACTGAAGCCTGTATTAATATTTTCAAACTGTTTTTAGATCCTCTGACACTACTGACTCTGCTAAAAGAGTTTTCATCTGCTTTTTCTGAAAACAGATCTTAAAGCTCTGAAAGGGAACAGACAGCTTTATATGACAATTATGCCAATGATCAAATCTCATAAATATGCACATACTGACTGGCGATTTATGCCAAATTTGTCCATTTAAAAGAGTTTGGTGGATCAAACTTTGAACACTTTCACAAGCAAGCCTCACAGAAAAAAGTAAGAAGGGTCCTCTGACATACATTCTGGTGAATGGATTGATCTGAACCGGTACAGACATGTCGTCACCAGTGAATGAATCCTAATCATTTTGGTGATCCCCCCCTTTGCATTTAATGCCATCATTGGGTCCAAATATCTGTTTCAGTACTTTTGTTTTGTTAATGATCAACCGTCCACCACCCACCAGCCCCGCTGTTAATTCAAAACATAGTCGGACTGGACACCAGGAGCACTGGGAGAAATCCCAGTGTGCAGGTCGCTCTGTGAACATCCCGTTATACAAAAACAAGAGAGAAGGGTCGTCCTCTGAGAAGAAGCTGTGAGAATGTTTGAAATACAGGAGTAATAACATCATCCAAGACATCCAAGTTGTCCCCTAAGCACCATCCATGTGATCAAAGTACATCTTCCCTCTTCACATTCCTGGCCCAAAGAACTCATAAAGTTCTTGGTGACACATTAAAAAGACAAACAGAGCATGGAGGTGATGGAGAGGGAGGATCAAAGCTCGCTCTCTCATCTGCCTCCCTGAGCTGCTGGCTCCTTGTCTTTCTTTCCATCCGACCTGATTATTAATTCGCCTTGATGAAGGCCCTGTCACGGAGACAGGCAGGAGAACAGAAACAGAGGAGGTATGTGTATAATTGAAGATCAGAAATCCTACACTTTCATTTCTATTCAACATTCATGAAATTACACCAAGGCTGAGGGAGAGAGGGAGAGAGAGGGAGAGATTTACATGCAACACTTCTGTCCCCTGGAAGGATTATTCATCAAACCTAAAGAAACTATTTAGCTTTCTATGTTCACATATTATACTGTCATGGATGGTTTTGGCTGTCATGGCACCATTATAACTGTCATGAATAATTCCTCTGACATCAACAAATGTGCTACTATTTGGACCGGTCATAAAGATGTTTTTAATTATTTAAGGCTAGTACAGTACCAAGGTGATTCACAGAGTTTCCTGATGGACAGATACTTTTTACTAAAGTAGGCTAAATGCTAACTGCTAGCTGATGTTAGCTAGTTAGCCATGCTATTAGCTATGATGTAATAGATATGGAGATAGTGGAGATATTTAAATGTTTAAGGGGTTTTTCTACCGTGATCCAACGACGTGGGGGCGGCTGTGGCTCAGGAGGAAGAGCGGGTTGGCTGTTCCGCTAGTGTATGAATGTGTGTGAATGGTGAATGCAGATGTAGTGTAAAAGTGCTCTGAGTGGTCAAAAAGACTAGAAAGGCGCTATACAAATACAGAGCATTTACATTTTACACTTACAAACATTCAGCATTTGGCTCAGCTAGATCAGCCTTAGCAGACAAACTGCTTCTTCTAAACCCTCAAACAGCATGCAAACACACACAAATGACATTCATTTGAGTTTGTCCCACTCTGAGTAATTAATCAGAGAATTACATTCAACCAATGCGCCAGCTAAAAGTAAGAAATAAAGAGAAAGTAAGTTGATGAGTGTTGTTTTGACTACCCATGGTAAAAAGGCAGTATGATTAAAGACACATCAGGAAATTAAGTCAGCAACACGTTCCCTACTGAGCACCATCTCACTCACAAACAAAACTCAGAGGGGTGGATCTGCATGCTTTTCACAGCATCCTCCCTACCTCTCCTCATGCCACTGGTAAAAGGATTGCATGGCCAGCTGCTGCCCTGGAATATGGATTGGGCTGTTTTGTAGCCTGCACATACCGCTCACCCTTCACACTCTGTCAACCACCACACAAAAGAATGCACTCCAACAAACACACCCTGAGCCTTTAAACAATCCACTCCAGTAACACAAAACAAACAATAATGAAGCATTTAAATGTCCTCTGATAACAACAGAAAGGAAAGCAGCTTTGCTTTATGAAGAGCGGACAAAATTCACATTTTGAGGCACAAAATATCTAAACCAGTTTATCACACACTATTTTTCTAATGAAAATAAACAATAGCCTCAGAACTTATTTCATTTCTTCAGTGCATTAAGGCCCAATGCCACAGTTTAGGTAAGCATCACAGGAAGAGTGAGCCCAGATACTGTATGAAACCAATGTCTACAACATGCTTCACACACCAGTGGACACATGAGATCTGTGGAAATGGTAGTCATCAAATAGCAGCCTGTGGGTTAAATCCATCCCTCCAAACTCAACACTGAGCCAACAATGACAGCTCAACATGATTTTTCATAAATCTCCCATAGGAGCAATTTACAAACAAAAGATCCATGTAAATCGTATATGATCTATCATCTAATAAAAATCGATGACCCAAGTAAGGGGCTAATCCAAGGCTCTGTGCCTCATTACGACAGGAAGTCTATACAGATGAGTAACACAACCAAACAATACATTTCATTTCATATAACTTTAATGAGCTGGAAACATGCTGTATTTATAACATATTTAATGGAAAGATATTGCTCAGGAAATGAACTACTCCGTAGTGCATCAGTATAGTTTCTGTCCACACAGAGCTAGGTAAAAAGGGCGCACTGATAAATTCTTTCTACAGCAATAACAGTACTAGTATTACTGTGTGTGGAAAAACTAGTGAAATCTCCAGTCCTGTAGTGCAATGCAGAACAAACTTGTCAAGTGATTATTAACATAAGCTATACCGTCCTGAGGCTGCTTGGCCAGGAAAACGTGTGTGTCACCTTTCTAAATTATATATTGTGGTGCTGCAGATTTGTCCTGGCCTACACAACATATTCTACAGACTTATGAAAACATCTTTGGTACAGACCACCGCAGAAATCACACCATAACTTTTTGTACATGTTTTGAAAAAATTGAGATTAACGTTGTAAAAATGATCATTCCCCTAGTATTGCAAATCATATCACAATTGCATTATCGGTCAAAATAATCCACCCTCAAGCGTTCACTGACCTTTGTCCATGCTGTTATGGGCCAAGATGAGAAGCTGCGGAGAACAGGCCTCCAGGATTTGCTGGTGCAGGTTGATATAGCGCAGGGTCCACCAGGGCAGCAGCTAAAAAATACATATAAAAAAACCCCATAAGAAACCAGTAAGAATATGTCCAAGGTAATGAGAACTCATGAAGAAGGTGATGGGAAGAGTAAGCGGCAGCAGTTCTGACAGTTTCAGTCTGTCTGATGCCTCTTTATGTTTTGTACATTTGATTTTGATTTGATAGCCTTTATTGTCACCAAGTGGCAATTTGGTTTGCAACAGTAGTCAGTACACATCATAAACCAAATAATAAATAGAAGACATAAGAACATATAACATATAATAGGTGTTATCAACATACAATAAAGCTACCATGAGACACAGAGCACAGTGTTTCCATAACTCCTGTATTACAGTATATGTGCAACAGGGCCTACAGTTTGTTTAAAAACCCAACAGCTGATGGAACAAATTATCTCAACCATCAGTTTGATTTGCCCCCCCTTAGGGAAAGTGTACCTCCTCCCTGATGGCAGAAATTGAAACTCTGTAAGAAGAGGGTGTCAAGCGTCAAAATGGCCTCTGCCTTCCGAATGTCTCTCTCTTGATAAACACGGTCAAGATCATTCTAGTTTGGCAAAGTTTAACAATCTTTCTCAGCCTATTTTTGTTAACCATGCTGAGATTGCCAAACCAGCAGATCATTGCAAAAGTTAAAATTTACTCAATAAAAGATTTAATAAAACATTTTCAAAAGCGATCTTTCAATGTTAAAACCCCTCAACTTCCTCAAGAAAAACAATCTCTGGTTGGCCTTTTGACAGATGGAATCAGAGTTGGCATCAAAAGTAAATTTATCATCCAGGAAGGTACCCAGTACCTATATTGACAGTCTCTATGGCTCTGCCATTGATCAAAGTCTGTGCCACGACAGGAGGGTTTCGGCGGAAGTCGATCAGCATCTCTTTAGTCTTTGAGACACTGAGTTGCAAGTACGAATCATTACACCATTTGATGAAATTGTCCAGGACGATGCCCTGTCTAGGTCGTATATGCAGTCAGTTAAGATTTGTGTATGTTAGCTGATGTGACATTTAGCTGAGAGACGTGACATTTGCTTTAGAGCCACCTGCTTATGGCAGGAGGTGTTCTGTCCAAAGCTACTCTGTGCCGTTTTGCAGGTATCCTGGAAACTCCTCCCCTTCATTTCCCCAATTCCCTGGATCTGCTGGCCAGCCTTTAAAAGCCCCCGTCTAGCTCCATTCACTCTCTCTCACACACTGCAGCCAGGAGCAGCAGCGTCGTCAGCAGCAGCCACCCATTGTTTCTTTGTCTGTTGAACTTTGTTTGCAATAAACCTTGTTTTGATCAGAATAAACGTTTGTGACTCCTCTATGTTGCCTCCCTTGAGCCAGGGTCAACATATTCCTTTTCTTTCTTCTAGTTTTGCCCCAGGAGTGCTCCAGCTAATTACTGAATGGAGGTCCACCTGGCCTTGGAAGGCGGTCTTTAAAAGCTCCTGTAACAGCATCAGAGGGAGGCTTTTTGATTTGGGACTGCTGGTCTTGCTGCCTCTCAGCTGGGGCATTTTGTGTTATGTTCTTGTGTTTTTGGTGTTCTTGATTGATTGTGTTATGTTATTAAATCTCACTGATGTGGTTGTTTTAAAGGTGTTTACCTGTGTTTAGTCTGGGGTCAGTGTTAGAGTGTTGTTCGCCCCATGTAGCCACCAAAGGGTGGGGCGTAACAAATGGGTTTCATTACCTGAAAACTATGCTCTTACAAAGTTGTGGAAATGCGTTCCCATTGTAAAACATCCTAATATTCCTTAAAGAAATTCCATAACGTCCATGACTGGTGGGAAATCTACAATGACTTAATCTATAAATCCATGAATAGAATGTTACGACTGACTATGAATGGTGTGTTGCTATATTTTGAGTATTTCCATTTGAAAATATGATGTTTCTGAGGGACTTAAACGGTTGGTTGGGTTTGATTTGTGTAGCTCTAGCTGTTCTATTATTTGCAATAACATTTTACTCACCAAAGCGATTGCTGAGATGTGGGAATGTGTCATCGACGCTACAGGTAAAGTGACACGGTTTGTCAGACAATCAAACGCGTTCTTGTATCACGTTAGAAGATAATGATGGATACTGTAAAGCACTGACCAGGTAACGTTAAAGCAACAATGAACAGAGCTATTCGTAGCGATGTCATTCATACCACGGAGGTCTCCATCGGTAACGAACAATAAGCCTTCTCCCCACACGGAAAAAAACACAAAACGCGAGTTGTCTTCAAAAACTGCTGACAAATAAAGTCAGAGCCGACAGAACAGGCAGAGGGAGAGAGAGAGAGAAAGAGAGAGACAGGTGTAGGTGTGTACATGTGTGTCTGACGGGAAAAGCAAGGTGAGCAGATTACTGTGGTTTGTGATTAAACACAAAAATCAATTCAAATGCAATTTATTTTCAGTTGGATTGTGGATACAAAACAGCTCCTCCCAGTGAAAATGCAACTGCTATTTAATAATCAATGTTTCATGATGACCATACAATTGAATGGACCCTAGTGAGAATAGCATACTGGTGCTGATGGAGATCCTTATAAAAAAATATTTTTCCATTAAAAGAGATGTTTGTGTATGCTGTCAATTATAGTTCTAGCCAAAATTAGAATCACCAGGTCAGACCTTTAAAAAAATCAGCAATTGGAATGAGTCAAGAAAAATTTAATCGGTGCATCTCACTACAGCTAGCATGGCGATACGCTTGTGCGTGAACTGATATAAGGCTAATACCATAATCTACCATTGTGTTGGGTTTTGCTCAATATGATTTTTAAGTGGCAGATTAGTTGACTTTCTGCAGTTAAATATCTAATTAAGAGATTTCCTCTGTCTCAGAAGAAACATAAGAGGACACAAGATAATTAGGATATTATGACCGCGTGGTGAACCTATGAGTCTAAGTCATATTTAAACTATTGCTTTGTGTTGTTAGCCAGAAAAATATTAGTAAGACTTCCCTCTGTCTGCACGTATCCTGTGATACATGATAATTTGGCAGTATTATTTGTGTCCCCTCCAAAAATTGCTCTTGAGAAATATTATGTTTAGTGAAATTTACGCCCATGTGTGGGGCTAACTGTACTTTACGCAGCTGAATGTAGAGCTGTCAACAGTGTCATTGTGAGCTCTCAGTCAGATATTAAATATTGTCAGAGGGTCCTTTGGTTCAATTCATTTTGTGTTAAAGTGAGGTAATTAACACACAAAGCTGTCAATAAATAAATAGCACTTTTGAATGGCAGTGTTGTATTTATATTAAATGATGTTATTTCACTGTGATTTAATAATACAACATACCTTTAGCTCAGAAAGTACATGCTTAGGTTAACATCCAGAGTGCAGCATGCTGGACCTCACTTTGCTTTTGCATCAGACCAGAATGTGAAGGGTAAACAAATGAATGTCTTGCAGCCATGTTAGTGTTACAGATCCTCTTTTACCAAAAACCCTTACCCTTTATCCTGTTCTCGTTCAGCACAGACTGGAAGTGAACCATGTAAAATGCGTATTTGTGTCAGGGAGGATTTCTCCTGCCTCATTTCCAATGCAAGATGACCCCATACTCAGCTGTGTGGTTACATGGAGGTTTAATTGTCTGTCTCACCAAATCAATATATAACACACGCTCTGTCTAAGCATGTTCACACATATATTCATCATGTCAGTCTCCTGAGCAGCAGAGCCTCTCCTTCTCCTTCCATATTTACTGTTGTGCAATGGGCTGTGAGCAGCTGCCAGAGGCGGTAGAATATAGATGAACAAGAGTTGGGAACAGGAGGGGAAGTTGAAAATCATCATCTGGAGGGAGTGGTGGTCAGGTCACAAGCACTTAAAGCCAGCCAGTCCCAACTCCCCACTGCTTGGTGGAGAATAGTGCTATAATCACTCATTAGCATTTAAAGAGAAAATTAACACTAAATCACCTAAAGCAGAAAAGCATCGTTGCACTTGTGTCCACATCCAAACTGGTGATGTTAGAACAGGAATCTGACAGCTGATGCAAAGCACGTCTCTGACATCAGGGCAACAATGATTTTCTGCCCTATGTGACTTTGCGTTAATATGCTCTTTAAGAGGCTATGACTTATGGAGAGCAGAGGCCAGAGGACAACTGCCAGTTTACTATTGTATATATATACTTTTGGTTATTTGCATACCGTACAGATTAGAAGAAGAAGAAAGCTTTATACAGTAAGAGCAACTTTATGGGTGGAATGTGTTCCAAGTCGACGGAGTGCAAGACTCCAGCAGGATGAGGAGGCGGACTATACGTGTAGGCCATGTATATATCTATATAAATAACTGTGTATATTGTAGGGCTGTCCACGACAAAGGATTTACATAGTCAAATCAGAATCGTCAAGTGCTGCCTATAGTTGACAGTCGAATCATGTGTGTTTTTGTTTGCTGCGATTGTGAGCCGGGGGGGGGGGGTAACACACGATAGCTCCGCTTTAATCTTCAGAAGCTGCAGAGCTTCAACTAACACTGTAAATTTCTAGCTAAACTGAGGCTTATTCCTGACCCTTTTTCTCTCTCTTGCCTGTCATTCACCGGACTTGTGCAGAGTTTTGCGTGCATGGCATGCTGACGACAACTGCATGCACGTCGCGGTTCCTCGCGGGTCTATTTCAAGTATAAATTATCCAAATGTCCCGCAAGGTGCGGACAACTCAGCAGAACACCAGTGAAGCTGGGGCTACACGTACACATGCACACTGACGACCCAGGGTTAGGGTTAAACTTTTGGATTTATTCACGCACTTTAAAAACATTTTCTGAAAGTTTTTTTTCTTTTTACATGTTTATTTACAGCATTAAACGTTGAAATGTATCTTGTAACAGGCTGTATATTAACTTATTGGGAGAAAACTGGTGGTTCTATGTAAAATCAGACGTTGAGCACCCCCATATCGCCAAAATGGTGTGATCCTTGTTTCACTGCAAAGCTTCGACTGTGAGATTGACAGTCGAATCAGGCTCCGGAATCTTCCGACTATTCAGGGTCAGCCCTAATATATTGTTTTATTTTATATGTTGCCAAATTCTAATGTATTTTTAATTATCTGCGAAGTTCAATGTGTGTAACATAAAGGGAATACAAACATTCACTTCAATGTACAACCTTGTTTTCTATAATGATAAATAAACTACCTCGACCCCTTGTTGTCTGCTTGTTAAAGAGTAACATAACAGCAAGCAGATAAGCTGTGTTCTACCCTTTTACCTCTGAGCACACCCAGCATCAGATGTGTGTAACCCCACCCAATTTTATTTTTGACTATTTATATGTAAAGATCTTGCCAGACAATAATATGAATGAATAAAAAGAGGCTGAGTGGTGATATTAGATTTTATCTAATATTTTTAAGTTCACATCCCAGTAAAGACAACCATGAGATCCAGTTAGCAGGTTTACCTGTTAACTGGATCTCATGGTTGATATGGTTGAAAGCTCTGAAACACATGTGGACCTTTGAGTTGGGTCCTTTTTTCCTCCCAAACAACAGGTGTACAGTTGTGTTAAAGTGTAACAGTGTAATCATGCTGTTGTCCCAACTGCATACTGATTGTGTCTTCCTATTCTTTGGAGGTTAGAGTTCTGCTTTCAACTTGCCAAGTTTGAAAATCCTTAGAATGCTAATTCAAACTTGAAGTACTTTGTATTGAGAAAGGCCTTGTGTATACACTATAAAGCCATGGCAGGTCTCATACAGCCCTGCTAACAGCAACAAAAACACACCAGTCCTCAAGCTGGGCTTGGCTGGCCTACTCTCTGTGGTTACAAATACAAAAGGCATTGTAAATGCTAAAATGTTCTTTTAGGGGCTGAGTAACTATTAACAATAACAATCTACAAAAAAACTCTAAATTCATCAGGAAGAAGTGGTTGTAACAGAAAGACATTCTTACCTGTAGGCTGTCCATCTTGGGGGAGCACTTGGTGAGAATAACCCTGGCCAGCAGGAGGAGGAAGGGATTGGCCACCAGGCTATACACAGACTCCCCATCCAGGAGCAGGCTGGAGTGGATAGTCTCAACCAGCATCTGGGGCTGCCGGTCAAAGACATTATAGAGATGACTGAACTCAAATCTGCATAAATTCTCTGCATAAAGCCTGCTGACAGATTCCTGTCCTGCCATTTCCTATCAGGCACATGTGTTTACAGAAGAAACAAAACAAATATGGAGAGACTAATTTTGAGTATTGCCTGTATTTTACCAATTGTAACAAAGATACATACAAATTGGGACATTTTGTAGTTGTAAAATTTGTTAGATCTCTCTGGTGGACAAACTATGTAATGGTGGCACAGTTGCTAAATTACCGCAAACCTAGTTTGGCATTTCTGTACTGGATTTTTGAAATTTCTGCCAATATTGCGGCCTGGCTCTAACTCATAACTTTGAGTTTGGATGAAGAGGAGCAGCCAGGGATGGATCACTGTAATAATTTTCAACCACATTTTTGTACCATGTAAACTAAAGTAACTCTGTGTAATATGTTTTGCCACGAGCAATCCTGTGTTCGCAATCTCCCTTTACTCCTTTGTATTGGAGGGTGCTGCATATTAATACACATTGTTGCACACTCAAGCAGTTCAGCCCAGAGGCAAATTAGCATGTCTTATTAATACAGTGACTAATGCACTACAGGTATCCATCCATTCACTGTCAGCTGTTTATCCAGATCTGAGTCATTAAGCAGAGCAGCCATGTTTTCCAGTAGCTCAGAGCAGGTTCTGTTTTCCCATCCACAACCTCCAGCTCTTACTTGAGGATTATAAGGTATTCCCAGGCCAGATGGATATAATAATCTCTCCAGCGTGTTCTGGGTCTGACCCAGGTTCTCTGCTCAGCTGACTGTGCCAAGCATACCTGCTCACAGAGGCGTCCAGGGGGCATCCTGTCCCTAATTGTGAGGCTACACACGTAGAGAGTAAAACTCATTTCAGCTGCTTCTGTTCATAATTTCTTCCTTTCTGTCACTATCAAAACACCCATACATGAGGATTGGAAGTTTTAACACACATGTGCACACACTTACATGTCAGGCTAATGTGTATATAAGGACTGTTATACACTTGAATTGCTTGTTTGCATTTCTCATTGTTACTATAAAGTACAAATGGTATATCATCACTTCCCCTAGCTTCCCTATGGTGATCATTTAACTTTTTCTCCAGTCCCTAAATGAATTAATCCACCTGACAACGGCTTTGCCATGTTTGTCCTCCCTTTCACCTGTGCTGTCGTGCATGTACGGCCGACCTGCTTTACAACACAAGCTCCTTGATGTGACAGCGCAGATAAATTATTGATGCCAAAGGGATTACCTTGATACAAGAAATGGCCCTCTCATCTGATTTACGGTAATGGCAGTGTGAAACGCACAATTCTTCTCTCAGCACCATAGTGCCCAGAGAGCGCCTCAACCAGGGGGTAATTAGGATCCCAGAGATGCTTCATTAACTGAACACTTTTCTTGCACAGTGCCCGTCAGCTCTCTCTGGTTGTGCTCTGGCTCAGCTCACTTTATTAACCAACATAAAATAAGCTTTACAACATTCAGAGAAGACCATAATTCAATATTTGGCACTGGTTTAAAATATAATTAAACATAATATACAATATTATGCTGTTTATAATTAGGACTATGGTAAATATATTGATTAATACAATCACATCGTAGTCAATGGAACGATCACAGTTGAGGAAATGTTAAATCCCACAACCAGTGCTGGTACAGGTTTAAAGGTTCCATTTTTATGTTGATGCTGTGGTACTCAGCCGTGAGTTAGGAGCTGACCTAATATACACCAATCAGCCATAACATTATGACCACCTGCCTAATATTGTGAAGGTCCCCCTTTTGCTGCTAAAACAGCCCTGACCCATCAAGACTCCACTAGACCTCTTGAAGGCGTACTGTTGTATCTGGCACCAAGATGTTAGCAGAAGATCCTTTAAGTCCTGTAAGTTGCAAGGTGGGGCGTCCGTGGATCGTACTTGTTTGCATATTTACATTTATTAATTTAGCTGACGCTTTTATCCAAAGCCACTTACGCCTCTGGAGCAACTAGGGGTTAAGTGTCTCGCTCAGGGACACAATGGTGTCTCACAGTGGATTCGAACCCAGGTCTCTCACGCCAAAGGCATGCGTCTAATCCACTGCGGCATCACCACCCACATCTCTCAGATGCTCGACTCGGTTGAGATCTGGAGAATTTGGAGGCCAAGTCAACACCTTTAACACGTTGTGTTGCTCTAACTATTCCTTAGCAATTTTTGCTTTGTGGCAGGGCGCATAATCCTGCTATAAGAGGCCACTGCCATCAGGGAATAGCATTTCCATGAAACGGTGCTTAGGTAGGTGGTATGTGTCAAAGTTACATCCACGTGAATGGCAGGTCCCCAGGTTTCCCAGCAGAACATTGCCCAAAGTATCATACTGCCTCCACCGGGTTTCCTTCTTCCTATAGTGCATCCTGGTGTTCCCCAGGTAAGCGACGCATTGCACCCAGCTATCCACATAAAAGAAAACGTGATTCATCAGACCAGACCACCTTCTTCCATTGCTCCGTGGTTCAGTTCTGATGCTCACATGCCCATTGTAGGTGCTTTCGGCAGTGGACAGGGGTCAGCATAGGCACCCTTTGACCCTTTTCAACGGCTCACTAATTTTCCTTCTTTGACCCCCTTTTGATAGGTACTGACCACTGCAGACCAGGAACAACCCATGAGAGCTGAGGTTTTAAAGATGCTCTGACCCATTCGTCTACCCATCACAATTTGGTCCTTGTCAAAGTCGCTCCAACCCTTATGCTTGGTCATTTTTCTTCTAGCATATCAACTTTGAGAACAAAATGTTCACTTGCTGCCTGATATATCACACACTGACAGGTGCAATTGTAACGAGATGTTATTCACTTCACCTGTCAGTGGTCATAATGTTATAGCTGATGGGTGTATTATTCTTGTTAGTCTTGAGGCTGAATCACACCAGAAAGCATTTTAAAGTGTCTGAGAAAGACGCAAAAATCGTTGTTTGTAGACGCTGTTCTGCTGAATTGTCTCCTAGCACATCCACTGCACTAGCAACTTTGTCCTCTCAGTTCTTTACAAAGACAAGTGCTGCAGTATGAGGAGTCCTACCTGAAGAGAGGCTGTGAAGTCTTCATGTTACGCCGTACGAGAACCATGTACAACATTATTTATCAAACTGTGTCGGACTTGATGAATTTAGCACGAGGAAACACATGTGACAAAGTCTGGTTTTCAAAATAAGGTGTCTACAAAGTGTGGAAATAAGTTTAATTGGATTATATTCACAGAAAGTATAAACATATTACATGTGTACGTTAAAAGTAAATGTGAAACAGGAAGTGACCTACACATGAAACAGCTGTTGTTTATTTGTTAAAGATAGTAATTACAAAGACAAAGAATCTGGGTGACAGAATGGATTAGCACACGCTACAGAGAGAGCTGGAGGTGAGTAAAAAGTGTTTTGCTGTAAAAAAAAAAAAAAGTAGCTGCCTGCTCTCATTGGCTGGATGTGGATGTCAAGTCGGCCGACTCCTCCAGATATTTGGCATGCTAGATATCTGGCAGACGTCAGCGATGTGTCAGAAATGTGTCGGGGAGCCGTTTTGATGCGTCGTTGTGTAATTCACACATAACAACTGGCAACCGGCAACGTTAGCTAAGCTCGACGAGCGGCAAATCGGGCTTAAAATCGTGTAGTGTGAACTAGGCTTTACTGAACTAGCTGGCTTACTACAGCAGCTGAAGGCAAAAGTCAAGAAAAAAGATCAACACTGTACTTATAGTGGTTGATATGTCCTTGGGCAAGATACTGAACCCCAGCCCCTGAAGGCTGTGCAATCAGTGTATGTGATGATTATTTCCTTTCGGATGTGCAGTCGGGCACATGTGTGTGTGTGAATAAGGTGAATGCAACATGTATTGTGCTATATTTTGTTATTGGGAAATACAAAAGCCAGTGGGTAACTTGCCAATGCTAGTCACAAAAGCTCTCCTCGCTAGCTGGCTTGCAAACTAGAGAGCTCTTTTGTTTATACCAGTTTATACACCTGCAGAGAAAGACTTTATAAAAGTGGATGATGTAACACAGCTGCTAGGATAGCCTCCTCTGTTTCGGACTACATTTTACATTACATTTACTCATTAGGCAGAATTGTAGAAGTCATGGTTTGTTATTGATCAGTGGTGCAAATCACATTTCACTAAAGTTGATGTTCATAATGGATTGTAAGTGCAACTAGAAACATTTTTGGAGCACTTGAGTATATATCCACTCACTGATTCATTATATTCTTTCAGTCAATACTCCCAGAGTAAATATGGCAGAATATAATTGTCTTAAAGTTACAGTTAAGTTACAGGTCTAATGTTTTTTCAGTCAGTCAGTAACAATGCTATTACAGTAAATTTGGCCTGAAAAAAAGGCATCCATCAACAACACTTCTCAAAAGTAGCTAGCTAATATAAAATCAGTCTGGACACAGGCTGATACATGACACAAAAGCAAGAGAGAGTGATGAGATGGTATCATACCTGAGAGGAGAGCAGGGCCGGGGGCAGCAGGTCTGAGATTTGGATGGAGACCGGAGGACCAGTCCAGTTACTCTGGGAAAACATGTGGAGGCAAGAGACGGCTAAGGCCATCACTGCCAGCTCCCTGCAGCAGGAGAGACAAGACACTAGATTAGTGGACAGCAAGACTTGGGAGAAGAGATGATATCTGAAGATACTTTAAGGTTTTCGGAACACAGGAAAACATCCTATGGCATTTACAGTCTTAGCAAGCTGCCACCTCACTCTCCGGGCAATTAGAGGGTTTTAAAAACAGGCAACGACCAGCGACATGCTTTCCTGCCTTTCTATTAAGCAGAGAAAATGATGGATGGTGATAGAGGAGAAGAAAAAGTACCAGTCGTGATGAGGGGAGAGGAGGAGTACGTGCTGCATTCAACATTTAATTCATTTTTTTCAATTTACTCACGAACAATTCTCCCCTGAGAGCGACAAAGGAGATGTTAAGCTGTCCTTATTAAGAATTAATAATTCATGACAAAAAGAATAGAGGTGGTGAAAAGAGAATGAACAAACACTCTTGAGAACAGCTTTGTGCTACACTCAACTACTCCCTGCCCAAAACCCATCAGGTCTATGCGGAGATTTTAATTAGCGGGCTCTCTTCAGCAGCTTACAATTATACACTCTTATTTACCTATTTATTGTTATTTTTATTAACAGTATATTACTGAAATCACAATTAGTTACCACTTGAAAATCAGGTCAATGTGGTTTTTTTAATTTAAAGTTCTTTAATAATTTTTTTTTCATGTTTCCAGAAACACAAGAGATGTTCCTTTACTCTCCAAGTGTCTCAGCATGTCTGTGGATGTCCTTGTTATTTGTGCAAGTAAGTTGATGGCTTAAAGTAAGTGTAGCTTACAAGCAAAGGATAGACGCTGTTTTGTTAGCAGTGGTATTAAAAATATAACCGTTGCATAATCACATCTATGCAGGCGCACATTTCTGGTAGGATAACTTTCCTATCCTAGAATCCTTCCTTATAATATCATAAACCACTGTGCAGTGTTTTATGGAATATGGATCACAGTCCATTGTTTGGTACCTGAGGCAACATGCTCCAGCCAACGTAGCCTGTTTTTTAAGAAGACTTGGGCACGAAATGGACAACTGCAAAGCAAATTTCTATTTAGTTCTTTACACTAACCGCAAATTAGCAAAAATGTTGATACTGATATTTTACAACTGCTTTGGAAGTGTCTCCAATTATCTTAATATTGAACAAAAAATTTAAAACACAGATTGGATTCAAGGAGACACTAAACTGAATAAGGCAGGAGATAACTTTTAGAGAGATTTATGCTGTAGAACAAAAACATGCAATTTAATTTCAGTTGGACCTAAACGTAGCCCTTGGAAAATATATATGCAATTATGTGATGCCCAGGCCAGTTTTTATAATGCAAGAATTGACATGTTTGGTTTAGTGACATAAAGGCATATTTAGCTCATTACATTGAGGAAAGTGCTACGTTATGTTTCTATGTTATGTTTCTTCACAATCCCACACAGTGAACACTGCCACTGAACTGCACCAGGAAAAATACTTTTCACGCTTTAACATATGCAGATGTGACTATTATAACATTATTTTTTGGGGCTGGTATACTTTAAAGAATATTACAATCAGAAATAAGAATTAAGATTCATCTTGACAGATCATCATGGTGATTTAACGTTTGCAAAATTTGCTATATCCCTCTGGGACTGACTCAAAAGCACATGGCTCCGCAGTGTAAAAGATTACCGTCAAAATAGCTCAAAACCTTGGATGGTTAAGTTACAACAGTATACATTTGTAAGATGCTTGACAGCCAGAAACAGATTTGGGGAATGATCTAGTTGATTTGATGGCTGGTGTCCTTCCATGCTGTATTACCTGTTGGTCTGGCTATGGTTCGTGCCACAAGTCAGGTACAGCAGGACCCGTCTCTCCAAGTAGGCCTCGATGTCCTCCCCCTCGTTGCAGCTGCCATCTCCAGTGAGCAGATCTAACACCTGGGGGCTCAGCAGAACCGCCTCAAAGTCCCCCTCCATCAGGGACTCCAGCAGAGAGCCTGCCTCTGGAAGAACAATGTTTAGAAGAGTGAGTTTACACTATACAAGTTTGGTAGCGTTAAGTCACTTTACAGTGAATATTCATTTAGTTCAATTCAAGACCACTTGAAAACAATGTCATCTAAACAGGGGCAAACCATATAACTGCACAGATATGCCTGAAAATTAAAATTCAGTAACAGTCCCAGCTCGTTATTGGTCCATGCAAAAAACCCTGCTGAGATGCTTCCTCTGCATTACTTTATTCTTTCGCCAAATCTTCTGTAACTACGGAATAGTTTACACTGGCACGCGTATGCCCAGTGTACGTGAACAGCCACTAGATGTGCGTTTTCACTCGTTTTAATTTAGACAGAGATCAGCTCTGATACGCAGCTAAAACGCTGCTGTGGACAGATATTTTCTCTCTCTCTCTCTGCTGTGAATGTCAGAGACCAAGCTTTAAAAACTTATTAGTAAGCATGTAAGGAGCCTAGCTAGTAAGGACAGCTAAGTTAATGTTAGAATACAGCTGGGTTTTCGAGGCTAGCACATATAGCTGGTGTGGGAAACACTGTTAAGCTTGTGGAAATCCAAACAGGACCTTTGTGAAAACAGCCACAAGATCCAGGAAGAACACCAATACTAAACAAGTCTGGAGTATCAGAGAAACTCAGGAGGATTTTCAGCAAACGCCACATCCCTGTTTTTTAAACCCAGTAACAATGTAGAACAGATATTGGTCCAGCCTAAAGACCGCACACCCAAACACAAGAAAACAATCTAATGTACGCTGTCCAATGCTGTGAGGTATACACAGACCTGTATATTGGGGAAACTAAACAACTACTACACAAATGCATGGCTCAACACAGAAGGGCCAACTCCTCAGGTCAAGACTCTGCAGTTTACTTACATTTAATGCATAAGGGAAACTTTTTCCAGGATAACAATGTTCATAAAATGGATAGGGAGGACGTATGGTTTGGAAGAGGAGTAAAAGAGGCCATGTACACCAGAGTAGAGAACCCACCTCTCAACAGGGGTGGAGGTCTTCAACACCATTTATTCCCCCACCTATGATGCTATCCTTTCATCCCTTCATGTGACACTGCCAATGACGTTCAGACTTGGCCTCAGGTAACTTTAACGACCTTACAACTGTGGTTACATCAGTCAGGAGTACTGATGAACCAAGTGGTATCCATCATTTTGATAATGAAGTCTTTCAATATCTTCAACCAGATCCCGTTGCCCTTGATTTAACCTTCCTTGACCCCCCCCCCCTTAATTTCTCAACAAGGCTTTATTTGTGAAACATTGTCAGGATGTGTGGAAAACTCATCATTCATGAAATCTCATTCTGTTACACTTTGCTGAGTCATGTCCGACAAATAATTTAAACGAAAATGTTTACCCCACTGTGGATCCACAACTCCTGACTCCATCACTAGGTATAAGATGGGGCCACATGCTACATTCTCAAATGAAGCCCACTTAGGCACACCTCCAAGTCGATCACATGATCCCTTAACTGTACCCCTGGCTTTAATAAGCAATTGCGGTGTGAGTGGTGTTATAAAGGAATGTGGAGATTGTCATCTCAGCACTGATCTAATGAAACCCAGGGGCTGCCATAATAACACAGTGGGGAGGGAGGATGAGGAGAATGAACGGCTGGCTTTATGAGGGGAAAAATGAAAGCCTGAGGTATGGCCACACGTTTAATGACATTTCAGCTACACTTCTGGTCAGCCAATGAAATGGCAGTAATTATGGCACAGGCCCTCAAATTAGTCCATAATTCATAAAGGCTCAGGCAATGAGTTGCAGTTAATAAGGAAATGGTGAATATAATTTGCAAAAGCGTAAAGGGCTGAGCACCAATACAGATCCAAGATGAACGATCAGGAGTGTTTCTGACAGGCATAGCAATTTCTATCCTGTGTACGAGCTAGTTTTGAACTGAAAACTGAACAGTCTTGTGGGTTCTTCCACTGAATAGGAGGGGTGATTCACACAGCCTTGATGAGTTGCACTGCACTCTAATCAGTGGCTTTAATCCAGAGTTTAATTGTCCTGTGAACATCTGCATGCCATTTCAGAGTATTTTCCTCTGACAAAAATAAAATTCTGGGGGTAAAAACAGAAACAAAATCAATCCATACATCTCTATTTGCCACCAGGCTTACATGGTAGTAGGTTTAGGTAATACGTTGATAATGATTTGTGATGTAGTTTCTGCCAGGTAATTGACAAACAGATATAAAGTATTTAACTTAAAATCACAAGTGATCTCCATTTCCATCAGTACAACCACAGTCATGTCATACTCTTCTACCCTAGTCTCTCTTTTTGATAGAAATACTGTTTTCATTCATTAATTATTTCCACCTTGCCTTTTTATTTTTATAATAATGTGAAACATTTCTGCAGGGTTAGGGTTATTAACAATTTTTTAGAAGTTCTAAAAACACAATGACTGAGAAACAACCAGCAGCAATGAAAGAACTGCCCAGCCCTCCACAGCCAACAACAGCATATCGTACAAAACACGTATGTGAACTAGGAGTGTGCAATATGTATCATCTACGATAAAATCTTAATTGTTATGTGCTAGAGTAAGAACTTCAAGAGAAAATCCATGACTGAAGTTAAAAATGAGTGACCAAACAGCACCAGGAGATAAAACAGACACCTGCAGCTTCGCAGTCTACATCGTTAGATTGAATTGCGAGACGTGGATCAACCTCACTGACATGGAGGGGGTCTGGCTTTGAAAAGATGATGTTGCTTGAAAGACGTCAATCTGCAAACTGTGTAGAATATCGGGTGCCGTTAAAGTCAGCTGTCCACGTCAGACCTGAACCAGCAAGGTAAAAGCACGTAAACACACTCCGATTCAAACAATCAGAATCAAAGCCATTACAACAACCGCTACGACAGAAACTCAGGGCTACAGACGGATGAAATGGTTCACTCCACCTGCACTGTGTGTCAGTAACACTTGGCTGGTGATTTCAGTGTTTTTATATTGTTTTAACTTGAATGCTTCAGTTGTGAATAAATAAATAAATAAATCAATCAGACCTGTTTCCATTAATGTCATTAGTAAGCAACAATTAATTTCCAATAACTAGAGTGAGCACGTTTTTGAAGGATGCCAAATAAATCTAATTACTGTTATCGAAGATATTTTTGTGGGGTCATGCTGTTATGGTTTCGGAGACAGGGCTTATAGGCTCTGATGTGGTAGTGAATTGTTGAAACAGGGTTATTTTTATCACGCGGGTTTGATATGTTAGAAACAAGAGTTTTAAGTTCTAAGGAAGCGCTGAATTTCTAGCAATATCTCCGCCATTGTCATGTTGTATGAGTGTTATTAATGAGGTAGGTGCAGGCACTGCACACATAGCCCTTTCAGCACCTGCCCTTTTTCTTCTTCAAGAGAAAGTGCCCTTTTTTCTGGGATGCTTTTGTTTTTTTTGTTTTTTTTTAATAAAAGAATATACAGTATATTTATTCCTGTTTGCAACAGATTCCCTGTCAAAGAAATATATTTATTGGGGAAAAAAATCTAAATAGGCTATCAGGTCGGAAGATGAGACTTTGGAGTTCCGATGCTCCCTCTCTCTCTGGCTCCGCATCTCAACGCGCAACCAGAGCGCAGCTCACAGACAGACAGCAGCCCCTCCAGTTTCTCCCCCAGCAGTGTTTTTCTTGGCTTGTGTGGAGGTGAGTGGCGATGAACAAAATACTAATCGAGTTTACCGCTAATTAAACAGGAGACAATATAGGCCGATGTCTTGCTAACGCATGACTCATGAGCTGAGCTAATGTAATAAGTTAGCTGAAGTTTAGCTAAGGCAATATCTTATGGCCATACAACCTAATGTACTGATGGAGACACTACAGGTGAACACAGTAACATTTGTGTCTAATGACGTCATTACAATCGCCACATTGATATGCAAATTAATTAAAATACGCCTATTGGCACACATTTGACAATTCACTGCAGGTGAATGGGATAAAAATAAAAATAAAAAATAAAGCATATAACCATAGAACTTCCCCAGTTAATGACTTAGATCAAGAGTTGGTTCCTCTGAAAGGCACTTTGTAAATATGCAGATTAGCTTGTTTTGATTAATACAGAATAAATCTACAGATGTAAATAGACCGAGGGTATTAGGCTTATTAGAGTAAAAGAAGACAGAAGCAAAATAGACCAAATTCTCAAAATTGACCACTCCATGAAAAAGTGCCTTAAAGAGTAACTTCATAGTTTTGATGGTCGGCTCCTCATCTAATAACTCTCCATTCTGTTAGTTTGTTGTATGCTGATAGATCCTTACATGATACAGTCAGCCCTCCCTCAAATGAGAAACTAAGTCGTGCGTGTATGGTAAATGTAATAATAGAAACAATAATAAAGTATTTGATCAATACATTAATGTATTCAGGCAATTCAGTATTCTGTTGCTTGGCTGTGTGAAGCTGAAGGTTATCTTTACTCATTTGGCATCTTGCTTGTGAAACAAAAAGTATTTAAATAACAGTTTGCTTTGCTGTCGCCTGCTCCTGTGATAAACCTAGTGAATACTAAAGAAGACCGTGGTCGCTGTGTGAACTGATTATTTTGTAGAAGAGTAAAAATGTTGCTAATATATAATATATAAAAATGCCCTTTTTTTCCCCACTTGAGCCCCTGCCCACCAAAATGTCTGTGCACGTCCCTGGGTTGAGGTCAGAGGAGAATGGGCCGACCGATTCAAGCTGATAGAAGAGCAACTTTGACTGAAATAACCACTCGTTACAACCGAGGTATGCAGCAAAGCATTTGTGAAGCCACAACACGCACAACCTTGAGGCGGATGGGCTACAACAGCAGAAGACCCCACCGGGTACCACTCATCTCCACTACAAATAGGAAAAAGAGGCTACAATTTGCAAGAGCTCACCAAAATTGGACAGTTGAAGACTGGAAAAATGTCGCCTGGTCTGATGAGTCTCGATTTCTGTT